GAATTCTTTTTTTTTTTTTAATTTTCATTTATTGATTGTTTTGAGAGTGAGAAAGCAAGAGAAAGGGGAACAGTGATTCATTCCATTTATTTATGCATTCATTGGTTGATTCTTGTATGTGCCCTGACTGGGGATCGAACCCACACCTTGGTGTTTTGGGAAGATGCTCTAACCAACTGAGCAACTTGGCCAGGGCAACAATTGAATTTTGTATCTTGAGGGAGCAGAGTTGACCTTAATATCTGCCATTTAACAAATGCAAAAATAAAGGCATGGCAGGAAGCAGAAGCCAGAGCCTCTGGGTGTTCCACCCCATCCCCTTCCTGACCTGAAGGAGGGTACTGCCCTCAGCAGCTCACAGAAGGCACAGTCAGCCTTTGATGTAACGTGCTGGGCCAGCTCAGATGGACCTCTCACCTTCCTGAACATCTAATGACAGATAGCTAGAGGGTCACATGATCATAGAGTGCCTACGCCCGCCAGAAAAACCCACTATCCATTCAGCTAACACATATAAATGCCTCCTCTGTACCATGGAATACTATGCAGCCATCAGAAGCAATGCGCCAGCTTCATATGACTCGTGTAGAAGCCAAGATATAGGGAATGGAAAGAGCAAGGTACTGTAGTATGCTCCTCCTGAGATTAAAAAAAGAAAATACCATATAAGTATGTTTGTATACCCATAGAACATAACAGAAGGATGATGCAAAAGAAAATAGTAACAGTATTGCATGGAATGAGCTGTAGTGGCTAAGGACAGGGTGGGAAAGAGACTTCTTTTCACAGTCTCCTCTTTTGTACCTTTTAATTGATGTTCCACATATCTGTATTATCTACGAAAAAAGACAATCAGAAGACCCCTCCCCCTCTCCCTTAGAGAGTTTAGAGGGAAGGCAGACATACAAACAATTATGATACACTATGCTTATTGTTATCACTGAGACTAGACGGAGTCTAGGGAACAGACTGTAGGAGGGAGGACATGCTAGTGGGCTTGGGGGTGTTGGGGAATTTGGTATCATCATAACAAATGCTGGAACCTCTCTCAGCTCAGAGTAGCCAGGGCCTGAAGAGCGCAGCGAGAGGGAAACTATGGTAGGTGGCAGGAGCAGGTAGACAGAGGCCAGAATGCAGACTACCTTGTGTGCCAAATTAAGGAGCTGCAATTTTATCGTCATAGGAAATGGGCAGCTATTAAAGAATTTTCAGCAGGGGAGTGACCTATTCAGATTTATTGTTGAGAGAGAGGATTCTGGCAGGAATGTGGAAGGATAGATTAGGAGGGGCAAGGAATGGGCGATGGGGCGGGGAGACCTTATGAGGTTAATGCTGGAATCTAGGTGAGGGAGGGCGGTTGGATGTCCTGGGGCGAAGGAAGCTGGATGGAGGAGAGGAGATGAAACCTGAGACGTCCAATGGGTCTTCAGTGTGTGCGGAGACCACCTACAGATCCAGCTGTGTCCCTCTCCATTTTCTCATGCTGGAGTCCTCTGCATATTCAGGCCCCCAGACTCCCTTGACAGCTGGCAGGATGGTGTCTGGAGGGGCCACCTCCTCCAGCCTGTCTGCCTTCTTGCTCCAGGCTCCTGCTTTGTGGCAAAGAGGGGCAGAGGAAAGACAACAGAAGCTCCTCTCCCTCACCATTTAACTCCTAGGTATTCTCTCTCTCTCTTTCTCTTTCTCTCTCTCTCCTTGTGTCCCCTCATTATTTCTGAGCTATACAGCTTGCTGCTTCCCTGGCCCGGCTCTCCCACCCCCATCTGTGAAGTGTCAGTCAAGCCGTCAGATGAGCCATTCAGCCTCACATCTTCTGTGGCTCTGCCCCAGGACGCGAGCCACAATTGCTGACACCCAGCAGCATGGTGTATACGGCTACTGGCTCTCCTTTTCATAGGCTTCTGATCCAGAATGGTTGTTAAAATGGAATTTGAGGGAGGGGATTGCTTCTCTCTCCCTGCCCCCGTCTGCCGGACAGCCACGAGGATGAGCAGCCCTGAGACAGAGGGGAAACCTTCAGAGGTCAATTTGCTTTTCATTTCAAGGTTGGGCCATGGCCAGCGTATGCTTTCGGAGGAGCCGTTTGAAATTCTTAACAAGCAGCATAATGCTCGAGTCCAGGAATCCAGGACAGGCTTGTAAAGTAGGGATGGGGAAATAGAATTGTCATTTTATCTCTGAAGGGGTATTATATTAAACAAAGGAGGGGGGGATACGAGCGGCTTTGTAGCTTCCCTGGAGGATGAACAATAAGAAATGTCAGGGGCAGCAGAAAGAACTGAGATTAAAAAAAAAGAAAGAACGTGCCCGGCCTGGAACCAGTGACCAGGGAGATCTAAAACATCTGCATCCCCAGGAGACTTCTCCTTCTTTTACAAATTGTCAGTGGAAGTGCAGTTTTTATAGAATACAGAAACTAATGAGCATTAAACTCAATTACCTGGCCAAATTCTCTTTAGATTTTTTGATAACATACACACATGACTGGTGACTGTGATCCATGTGTCTGTTTGTATTCTGCTTCTCGTCCTCAGTGTGGTTTCATATACACATTTCCACGGAGCCTGCAGTCCTCGCGCTTGTCATTTTGAATCGCTACATAGTATTCCATTGCGTCACTGTGCCAGCGTTTGTTCTCCTATTCCCTGTGGCCCCGCTGTTTCCAATTTTTTATAATATAAGAGCACAGCTATGAACGTCTTTATACAAATGTCTTTTTCTCCCCTTGGATATGTCCTTGGGGTATAGTTCTCCAACCCAAATTTCTAGGTCAGAAGGTTTAAACAATTTAGCTGTGCTTGCACGCTGCCCCAGCCCTCTGCGGAAGGCTTAGGCAGGCTGAGTTGCCCCCCTGCTCTCTCTCCATCCCCACAGCATTGACGATATCATATTTTATCATTTTTATTTATTTTTGCTCATTTAATGGGCACATAATCGTGCCTTGAAGTTATTTAATTCCCATTTCTTTCATTGCTAGTGAGGCTGGGCACACTTCCATGTGAAGATTTACTATCTGCTTTTCCTAGTGTGTAAACTGTTTATCTCCTCTGACATCTTATCAAGAGAAATCTGGGGGCTGACCTTATATATTTATATCAAATCTTTATATACTTATACAGTACATTTTTCTCAGTTATGTTTGCCACTTTTTTATACTACGAGAGCTGTCCAATTGTGAGGTGGATGTTATCTAGTCCCATGTGGGTTGCGGTGAGGTGCGGCTGAGATGACTTATGGATTCTAGAGTAATTTTTTTTTTTCAGAAGGAAAAAGAAAGCCAGTCATATGGCACCTTCTCTCTGGGCTTCTATGTTCCTAGGAAAGGGAGGGCTTGGCTGAGAAGACACTCATTGCCAAGGTCACACTGGGGAACTGAGGTTGGGCAGCTCCCTGGGGTCACATGGATTTCCTGGTCTATTATTTTCTCCCACTCACAGTATGGTCGTGAGAGAAGCAGCAAAATATTCAAATTAGAATGATCAGTCCAAGTTCTGACTATCCCCCAGTACAGCACAGTGGTTAAGGACAGGCTCTGGAGCAGACAAACCTGGCTTCTCGTCCCAGTGCCTATGTTTAGCAGATGTGTGGCATTGGGTGAGTTATAGCCTCTGTAAGCCTTAACGTCCTTGGCTGTAAAGTGGCATTTTGGCACGGCTGCATAAAAAAACCACCCCAAAACTTACTGGCTAAAAGCAGCGATTGTATTTATCCCATCTTATGGTTTTGTAGGTCAGGAATTCAGACGAGGCTTGGCTGGGTGATTCTTTTGCTCCATGTGGCATATATTGGGCCACTCAGTGGCATTTAAGTGGTGGTTGGGCTGGGCTGCTGTCCAAGATGGCTTCACTGTCACGTCTGGCTCTCTGTGTAGTCGCAGGGCCTCCCCACGTGATCAGGGCTCTGGCAGGGAGTGCTCCAAGATGAGAAGAGGAAGCTCTCAGTCGCTTAGGCCTGGGCCAGAACATGTTCCTATGTCACCTGGGCCATATTTTATTGGTCAAGCAGTCACAGAGCCTGTGATACGAGGAGTGACAAAGAATTTGGGACCATCTTTAACCTGCCAAAAGTGGGGATAAAAATGCTTCTGACTAGGGCCGTGAGGATTAAATGAGACAATGCATGCAGAAGCAGTTTCCCCATGAAGCTAATGAAACTTCAACCACCGGGCTCCTTAATTGTGCAGTCTCTTCCAAGTCCTAGCACCTAATTTTGTATTCATAATTTTTCTTTTCCTTTTCTTAAAGAGGACCCCCCAAATCGTGTGAGAATCAGGCCCTACCAATCCGGGCTCTGTCCCCAGTGCATGTGGAAGCGCTTATTTAGCCTGTTGCCTGGCCCAGAGGACGCACTACAGGGGCCCCCACCCCTGTACCCTAGGCTGGCGCCTGGCTCCCCGTCTGTGCCTCAGGAGAAGGCTCCTGCTCTTGCTCTGTCCTTTCCATTTGTTCAGGATCATTTCTTTTTCTCCTTTTTAACAAATGAAAGTGAAACATGCTGAGAATAATTTCATAATCACAAGACTGCCCTATCAATTGACCCCTGCGTCTACCCCTGATCTTGCCATCCACTGGGGAGGAGGACCTTGCCCTGGGCAGAGTGCCAGGTTCTTAGCGCGGGCCCTCTAGAATCTCCAAAGCAAGTCAGGCTGAAGGGAGGAGAGCCAGCAGGCGAGGCAGCATCCCCGGTGCCCAGCTTGGTCTAGGAGGCATTGAAATTCCGGGGCTGAGGTCCCAGAGACAAAGATCATAATGAGACAGGAAGGTGGCAAAGGAAAGAACCCATTTGCATGACAATAATTGAGCCAAGAATAGAAAGCTAAAGGGATGCAAGGGTGAGGCTGGCAGCTGAGCTGGGCTAAACCTCACAGAATCGGCCTACCCAGCCCTGCTCTGCAGGGGAAGTGAGGCTGAGCCCCGCGCCAGGCTTTGGGGGAAGGGAGAAGGACACGGCCCCAGGGGACTGTGGGATTGCCGGCCAGGCTGCACTTTGCCCCACTCCTCCTCCTTAGGCCCAGAGCCCCGCTTTGCTCATCTTCTCCTTTGTGTGTGGGTTCTGTGACTATAGGACTAGGTGGGCATCATGGCTGCTCCGAAAGATCTCTGTGATGCCATTGTGATCGGGGCAGGCATCCAAGGCTGCTTCACTGCATATCACCTGGCCAAACACGGGAAGAGGGTTCTTCTGCTGGAGCAGGTACTGTGTCCCCTCTGCACTCCAGGCCTTAGGGGCTGTCCCTGTCTCCTCCCCTAGAGAGAGGTTTCCAGAACTAGCAGGCTATGGGGTCAGGCCAAAGGACCAAATCATCACAAATTCTGTGCAGTGTGTAGCGTAGCTGCCTGATGTGTTTCATGACAATGTAAAGAAAGTTCCACCTTCCCTAAGAGGTTTCTGGGTGCATTTCCTCCTCTTACTGCCCACCCCCACCCGCCCCAGTTCCTGCCCCCAGTCAAGAAGTGTTCCAGGCCGTGTTCTCTTCCTTCTTGCCACCCACTCTCTTCCTTCTGTGTCAAAATGGTTGATCCGACCTAGGAAAAGAATCAGTTCTGCTCTGGGTAACCTTAAATGAAGACAATTTGGTCTAGAGGCAAAGGCTTCAGAGGTAGGATTCTTCCCTGCATATCCCTGGCCTCTTACCCCGGAACCCAGCAGAGGCTTTGTTTTTTCCCCCACCACCCTCAGATAATAGCAGCCTGCTTGTTTGATACACAGGAAATGGAACTTTGGTCTTATTTTTCCTTATAGAAAAGGTGACCCTGCGCGGTGCTGCCTACAGTGACCGTGTGGGTGGGCCTGTGTATATCTACAGGGTCTTTCCCAGGACTTGCCCACCCAGCCCATCTTCCAAAGAGCTCTGCCCTCCCATTCTGCCTAAAGCTCTTTAGGCTTCAGTTTATTCTACTTGGTAATGAGCTGCATTGGTTAGGACCCTTTTTGATTTTGTTATCAGTTTTCTCAAAGCCTGAGGGATTCTTGGTTTAACCTTGCAGGTAACTCAACACCTTTTGCTAAATCCCAAGTGGTTTCCTTGTCCCAAGTGAGTTAAAGCCACAGGAAAATGATCAGCGTCAGTTTCCTGTCCATAAAATGAGGGGCTAGACTAGAATGATCTCAAAGATCCTGTCTAACTCTGCGTTTCTATGAGTCTATGTGGGATGGGGTGGCAGCAGGGTGACTGAGGACAAACTAACAGAGGGACTTTGGGGTGTGAATGATGTTAGCAAAAAAGGAAGCGGGGTTAGTGCTGCTGAAGAACTTCCATCCTATCAGGAGCTTGGTCACAAAGGGAGAACGGAAGGAGCAACGTGGGGTCAGTGCTCCTGGGCGACAGCTCCTGGTTGACTCGATGAGCTGGCTCCTAAAGGCGGGCCAGGCAGTGCGAGGGGTGCCAGCCTCAGTTGCCTTTCTTGCTCTCCACTTCCAGTTCTTTCTACCACACTCCCGAGGAAGCTCCCACGGGCAGAGCCGGATAATCCGAAAGGCCTATGCTGAAGACTTTTACACCCAGATGATGGACGAGTGCTACCAGATGTGGGCCCAGCTGGAGCACGAAACCGGAACCCAATTACATAGGTTGTGGTTGGGGGGGAATTCCTTAAATCCTGGGGCCTGGCACCTGGAGGTGATTCTAGTACGTGAGGGGGCAATGCCATGAACACGTGAAGTGCATGGAGGGAGACAGGGCCTAGGGAAGTGCCAGGCACGTGCAAGCATTCTATTCACTGTCATGATCACCAGCTGGCTCCTGCCAGGCTCTGAGTCCCAGGACCGAGTTCAGACCGTGCGCTCAGAGCCAGCAGAGGTTATATCTCTACCTCTTCGAAGCCATCTGAGATCCTTTTAGGGCAGAGACTGTCACAGAAAAGGAGGCTGCTGTCTCGATTCTTTCTATGTCTGCTAGCATCATAACTTTTCCTGCTGGGTGCAGCTCCCAACTCCCAGAGTGACCCCTGTAAATCCATTTCATTTTCTCTGAATACCTCCTCCCATAGGAACAAATAGGGATGCTCCTGAGACCCTGTTGCTTGCCAGGGAGTGAGCCTGCAGCTCTTTCCCTGTTGCGCCCATGGCTCTCTCTGACCCTTAAGGCCCCCTCCTCACTGACCTTTCAAACGCTCCTGGGGGAGAAAGCAAACAACCTGTGATGCAAAGAGAACTTTAGCCACTTACCCCACCTCCCCTTCGCACCTTCTCTGTGGCTCTTAACTGAACTTTCTACAAAACTTCAGCTCTACCCTACAGGGTGGCAGTTATTTTAATGGCCAGGAACCAAGAGGTTACTGTTCTGTTGCAAAAACACCATTAACTTAAGAACAAAGTGAAATCCATTATGCAAATACAGCTAGGGCAGCTAATTACAGATTTATTCCAGAGGCGGCTAATGCACCCAGCACCCAAATAAAGAAGCGTGTCTTGCTGAGGGGTGGCCTAGCCAAGGGACCCCTCTCTGTCAGCCATCTGTGAATATTGCTGAGTATCTTGTGCTAAAAGAACTGCAGGGGCTTTGGAGGGCACACTGCTTCCTAGCAGACAGGAGGCAACTAAAAAAGATGTTAGAAGAATGCCTAGAATCTTTCATATGGAAGGTGATTATGGAGTCACACAGGTGTGAATTTGCCTTTGTGCTCTACCTCTTACTGGCTGTGTGACTTTGGAAAACTTTCTGTACCTCTCTGTGTCTCTCTCGCTCTCTTTTTTTCTCCTCACAGGATTTTGTGAGGATTAAATGAGACGTTTATCAAATACTTGGCACGGTGCCTAGCACCTTTCCATAAGAAGCAGTTCCTTCCACCTGTTCTGGGTCAGCAACATCCTATCTCAATTGAGCGAGGGAGGAAGAAGGGCAGGAAGAGACAGACGGGATGCAGCAACCAAGAATATCAAGAGGAAAGCCTGCTGGAAAGGGAGAGAGGGAAAGGCACCATTGGGCAGGAGATTCTCATATTCTTATAATCTTCTTTGCAGGAGGACAGGACTTCGGAAGCAGGCAGCCCTGGCTTTACAATACACTCTGACACATTTAGCTGTGTGGTTTGGAGCAACTTGTTTAATGTCTTTGAGGCTCAGTTTTTTCCATCTGTAAAGTAGGAGTAATAATATTTATTACACGGGGCTGTTGTGAGGATAAGTATGTAAAGGGCTTAGACAAATCATCATCATCATCATCATCATCATCATCATCACATATGTAGTGCCTATAGCAAGAAAGTAAATCTGTTCTCAGTGTACTCAATACATATTAACTTAATGAACTCTCACTGAAATCTCATTGGAAGGATTGGTACAGAGTAGTCAGGGCCTTAACCCATTAGTGCAAATCACAGAATTCCTATAGTCTAGAGCAGGGCTTGGCAACCTTTTTCTGTAAATGGCCACATAGTAAGTATTTCAGGTTTTGCAGGCCATTTGGTCTGTTGCAAACATTCAGTTTTGCCACTCAGTCCTATCACTACAATGTGAAAGCAGCTGCAGATAATATATAAACAAATGAGCATAGCTGTATTCCAATAAAATTTTTTTTATGGACATGGAGATTTCATATAACTTTCATGTCATGAAATGTTCTCTTTTTGCTTTTTGTCAACCATTTTAAAATATAAAATACATCTTGGCTTGTGCAGCAGACAAGAACAAGTGTCAGACTGATTTGGTCCCTGGGTCATAGTTTGCTGGCCCCCTGGTTTAGTAGATACCACAGAGTGGTTACTTTGTCTACCCTCTGTCTCCAAACAAGTTCATTGCTAAATCATCCCTGATCAGGACATTGTTAATGTACATTTAAAGACAAGAACACATTATAGCCTGTCTTAAAAGACCATTCTGATGCCTCACAGCCTCAATTATGAAAAAAGGAGGGTAAAGTAAATATACTTTGAAAAACCTTAAAAGTCGTATAGAGTGCGAGCTGTTTTTTTATATTATTATTATTATTATTTCCTTTATGGCTAACTGAATTTACTCAGGCACACTAATTGATTTGGTTCTTTTACTTGGTAGGGACACAGAATAGATTCTTCCCATTCCAATTCCTTTAGCTTTTGTTCTTAATTTTGATTTCCTAAATGATCCATCATCTTTGTATTCTTATTCTCCTAGGTTCTTCTGGAAGAACTAACACAATATCATAATCTAACTGATAGGCATGAATGTATTTACTTAATGCTATTTGATGATGATTTTTAAAAAAAATAATACCTTCAGGAGTTGATAGGTAAGGTGGCCATCCAATTCTTCTCATTCCCCTCTGCTGCTTCCCGTGACAGCGGCCTACTAAACATGGCCGAGCTCAGGGTATTTGCATACTTTCTGGGAACAGACTGTGACACATGTGTCAGATCACAAGGTCTGAGTCTTTTGTGATGTGTACAGCCAGGACGTTAATAGAAACAGCAAATCCCAGCTCTGTGTCCCCTCTTTTTCCTGCCTCGCCTTTTCCCTTTGAGCCCTACTATCTAGCTCCTGACCTGGGCTGCCCCTGCTTAGCTGACAATATCAGACAAGATCACAGCCGTAGGCAGTACAGCTGCTGGCAGAACCTGGTGGCCCCCTCCGCAGCTGCTGCTTCCTGTGTCGGGGAAGTGTCTGGCTTGTCAGCCACATCCCCTCCCTGGAGCAGTCTTTGTTAACCAATTCCACCTCGGCCCACTGAGCGCAAGATGAAACGCCAGGAGCTCCTCCAAAACCAACAAAGACAGCAGCCATTACCCAGTCCCTCCTCCAATCCCTTCCTCAAGGTGACTCAGAGTTGGCTCGCCTGGCACTTTTAACCCAGAGAGGGAAAAGCTAGAGCCTGGGATAGGGGATGGCAGATGTAGGGAGAGATGTCTGCCCCTCCTAATTCCTCACCACTCCGTCTTGCCTCCTATTCTGCCATAGTAACTGTGGGAAATCCCTAATCACCAACTCCTTACATCATGTCGGTGGCTTTAGTGGGGCCTTAGAGTCAACAAGACCCTTGGGAGGGCTCTTTGATTACCTCTTCCTAGTGCTGGATCCAGCTAGGGGTGGGAGGAAGGCACAGTTCATACCAAATGCTTTGCACTCAGCTGAGGACATGTGGGGAGGCGGGAGCTGCGTCCTTTCAGGGTTTTCTGACTCCCCGACCTCATTTGCAAGGTGCCTTCTTTCTAGGCCGGCCCCAACCAGTCATTTCCTGGGCATTTCTTTTTCTTGCGATGCCTCTCCAAATTTTGTAGCCTAGGTCTGAGCAGAAAAGGAGGAGAGGGAGCCCCAGAGCATGGGGGTAAGAAATTGATGCAGAATGAGCAGTCTGCTTATTGGGATCTAGGAAAAGCCATTAAGAAAATAAGCACTTAAATGATTTTCAATCCGCCCATGGAAGTCATCTATCTTCATACTGGGGGCAAAGACCCATTCTCCGATCCTGGTTTTGATTGACTGATTTCCAATTCTCTAAGCATTTCCCACAGGAGCCTCTCACCTATCTCCCATAATGACAGGCCTTTGCATTTCCAGGCAGTGTTTTACATTTATTTCTGATTTGCTCATAATGGTCAAAAATCCCTCTCCAATCCAAGGCATTTCTCCAGCAATGCACGGTTTCCCTCAGGCCAAATAGCTCAGCTGTGATCCACGGAAAATGAGAATTTCCCAAACGCATCTTCGGACTAGGGGAGGGTCCAGCATCACAAATTCAGATTGAAAATTTCCCACTGTTAGATCAATATCTGGGCTAAGAAATAAATGCCACAGGGGCAGAGAGCTGGAGCAAAATGATTACGATCGGCACAATCACATTCACGGGCAGCATCCACTCGCTGATTACCCCTCAGGACGGGGAGCTCCTGCTTCACCCACCGCAGGACGGCTTGGGAATGAGAACGTCACTCAGCATTTCATAATTCAACAGATTGGCCCGATGTCTTGGCATGAGTTCATTTTCCCTGTATAGTACATTCGTGTAAGAAGGGCTCTTATTTTAAGGAGGGAAGGAGAGAAGGAGGGAAGGAAGACAGGAAAGGAGGAAGGAGAGGAGGGAGAAAGGGAAAGGAACAAAATCTCAGAGCACAGGAAAGATCAAGCCTGATGCATTGCAGACAGGCTTAGGCTATGCTGCTCTGTTTCCAGGCCAGGGATCTGACTGCTGAGGTGTGGTTTTTCCCAGAATTCTACCCAGCTACAATTCCATCAGGTAAAAACAGTTCAAGAAACACACTTGAGCAACTTAATTATCCTGTTGACCAAGAAGTTTCCTAGGCAATTTTTTATTAACTGAGAATCAATCTGAACTCCTTTTTGGGGGCCACAGGAAAAAGACTGTCTGCTGGCTAGTGGGGATTTCTCTAGCACCCTTCTGCTGAGCTTTGAAGAGGCAGATAGGTGCTTGCTCATTGCTTTCTCACCAGTGGTGAATGCTGGGTAGGCGGACGCCATGGCAAATGAATTGGGCACGCTGCGCGGCTCTGTGTACTGACACCAGCCCCGGGGCCCGCTGTGTCCCTAACCCCTCCCAATCTTCTCTTTAATCCCCCCAACCAGATAATGTGGGATTTGGAAGCATGTAATATCCATGAGACTCCATTATAAGCTATTACGAGCTTTATATGCAGTACCTGGGGCATGTGTCAGGCTGATGCTGGTCACTATGGCTGCTGAAACTGAGAGAGGTGACAGGAATGGTTCCAAGACTCAACGTGACCCTTCCATTGTTTAGGCCAGTTTCCACAAAAAGAGATCTCTGGTCTCTTGTGACAGAGAGACAGAAAGCATTAAAGAGAAACAGCTTTCAATTCTATTAGTCCTCAAGAAGCACAGAGGGGTGTACATGCAGAAACAAAATTGCAGAGTCACTAAATTAATTGGTGGAGTCCTAAGGAACATCTATTTGTGTTTCTGCATGAAGATGCTATTGGCATTTGGGTGGGATCTTCCTAGCACCAGATGTTTAGCATCCCCGGTCCCTGCCCACTCAATATGAGTGGCAACCCCCCAGGCACTGTGACAGCTAAAAAAAAATGGCCCATGCCATTTCCACATGCCCCTGGGTTGGAGACAGTACCACCCTTGTGTGGAACCACCAATAGTCCAACAGACATCGTTACAGAAGAGGAACCCAGGGCCTGGAAGGTGAGCAACCAGAGCAGGGTCCCAGATGGGCTGCCGGGACTTGGCCCAGAGCCAGAGCTCCCCACGCAGGACCCTTTCCACAAAACAGGTGGCTTCTGAGAAGGGACAGAGAGACAGGCAGAGACACGGGAAGGGACAAAACACTATCTGTCAAGAAAAGGGACAGAGAAAAGAAACAGCAGGGGTGGGGGAAGAAGATAAAGAACAGAGACGGGGACAGTGAATGGGGTCAGGACACGAGAGAAAGGGGTGAGATCACATCAAACCCGTTGAACACCTGCCACTCTCGAGGTGTGGAAATAAAGAGGATTGAGGGTCTCTGCCCTCAAGGACAGGTGGACCCTGAGAGAGAGAATAGGGGGACAAGCAAACCTAGAAGTAGTGAGAGGCAAAGGCAGACTTGGGAAGGGGCTGGAAACCAGCTCAATAATACTGGGACTCTTGTGACAGAATCACAATAACTTTGCCTGTTTTTTTAATGTGAGACCAGGACTGCCCCTGATGCCTGGCGCTGGGGCCCTTGCGGGGAATGGGAGGGAATGGTCTAGGGACCTGATAGGACCTTCACACAGAGGTCTTCTTTTTCTTTTCTTTTCTTTTGTTTTTATTACAGGCAGACTGGATTACTGCTTCTGGGAATGAAGGAGAATGAAGAATTAAAGACATTCCAGGCTACTTTGTCTAGGCTGAGGGTGAAACACCAGTATTTTTCATCTGAAGAACTGAAGCAACGTTTCCCCAACATTCAGTTGGCCAGGGGAGAAGTGGGGTTCTTGGACGAGTCCGGGGGAGTCCTCTATGCGGCCAGGGCCCTCCAAGCCCTCCAGGTGACCTTGTGCTGAATTAGGGGCAATGCAGCTCCTGACCGAGGCATCCTGGGTCCCAGTCAGCCTTGCCCCAACCCTCCCGCTGGATGGGAGCCTTTCTCACGCGGGCTTTCATCTTGACCTTTGGGCAGGGCTGTTTTATATACCCTGCTAGGCCTTGTCAGGATGGGAAAGGAGGTCTAGAACCTGCATTCTCTTTTCTGCCCTAAGTGAGGGACTCTGGTCCACCAGGGTGAACCACATATATAACCATTTGCCTTCTCCTGACCCTGCCCTTTCAGGGTGCAATTCGACAGCTAGGAGGCAAAGTGGGTGATGGAGAGAAGGTGGTGGAGATCAAACCGGGGCTACCGATCATGGTGAAAACCACCTCCAACAGCTACCAAGCCAAGAGCTTGGTCATCACAGCAGGTCCTTGGACCAACCAGCTCCTCTTTCCCCTGGGAATTGAGCTGCCTCTCCAGGTAAGGGAGCTGGAAGCCTGAAAGTGGGTGCTTAAGAGCCAGATTAACTTGCGTTCGAGTCCTGGATTTGCCACTTGCCAGTAGACAACATTGGGCAAATTTGTTTACATCACTGAGCCTCAGTTTTATAATATGTAAAATGGGAGACAGGGCTGTAGGAGAGTTAAATTAAATGATATGCATAAAGTCCTTGGAAGATGGTCTGGCCGATCATAAACACTCAATAAATATAAGGTATTACTTATGACTTATATTTATTGGACAGAAAGAAGAGAAAGCTTGGTGCAGTTATGGGAGGAGACTAAGAATTGGAGAAAGAGATTCAGAGATTTTTTTGTGCATCACAATATAATGTAACATGCAAAGGACATGAGAATTGGATGAAAAAAGGATAGGTAAGCTAAGTGGGGCATCAGGCTTATATTGAAGGGCTAAAAGACCCCAGAAGAAACTGTTCTCATTGTCTTTAGAGTCCCAAGGCTTTCCCCTTCATCTCCCACTTCCTCTCCCTGCTTTAAGACCCTGCGGATCAATGTGTGTTACTGGCGAGAGAAGGTTCCCGGAAGCTATGGTGTGTCCCGGGCTTTTCCATGCTTCCTGGGCCTGGGCCTCAGCCCGGCTCCCTACCACATCTATGGGCTGCCCTCTGGAGAGTACCCAGGGCTGATGAAGGTGAGTGAAAGGCAGAGAGAAAGCAGTAGGGGTGCGCACAAAATTGGGGCAGCTGCTCCTACTTCCCTCAGCAGACTCCCTCAGATCCCGGTGCGCAGCAGCAGGCATCTACTTCACTATGCGCTGCTTGCAGTGCAAGACGCCCAACGTCCTGAGGCCCAGCAAAGGGAGCCCTTCCTTTGCAAACAGAGGGTTAGCGAATGAACAACTAGGGAATGAACAACTAGGCAACCTTGCCTGGCAACAAGCAGCATCTGTCAGGACTGGGGAAGGCTGGGATGATGGATGGGGGCATTGTGTGTACAAGCCTGTCCCCTGGGCTGGGTGGGTGTGCGGGTGTGTTGGCCCTGGCAGCTCACACTGCTCTGATTGGGAGCCAGGTCTGCTATCACCACGGCAACAATGCAGATCCCGAGGAACGGGACTGCCCCGCAGCATTCTCAGATGTCCAAGACGTCCAAATCCTGAGCCGCTTTGTCAGAGATCACTTACCTGACCTAGAGCCCAAGCCTGCCATCATGGAGCACTGCATGTACACGGTAAGGGTGTGGGCGGCCCTGGGGAGCAGGGGAAGGAGACAGATTGACCTGGCGCGGCTCGGGCTCGACTCTACTTGACTCCTGACATAGTATGTGACTTGAAACAAATGAGTTCATTTCGGTGGGTCGGTTCACCTCCACCAGAGAGAGCCCATTAGAGGTTATTCATATGCCTTTTCATTAGGAAACTAGGCTTATGGCTGGCAGTCCTTTGCTATGTTTCCCAGAAGGGCTCTAAAAGATTTTTTGGCAAGATATTCTAGCTGAGCAGGCCTTAGGGACAAAGAGAAGAGACAGATGTCACCAGAGCCTGAGGCATCTTGGCTAAGCTAGTTTACGCGCATTAACTGAGCACCTACTGTGTTCATAGCTCTGTGTAAGAAGAGAGGCAGATGGACAAATGAGAAAGACTGATATACCCAAGGGGGGCGCTGGCACACAGAGAACATTCACGTGCCTCGTTCCCATTCTTTCTGGAAAGAAATCCAGCCTGGTCCCCTCCCTTTTGAGCCTGCAGTTCTTCCTCTTCCCTCTAACCTCAAAGGACACAGGTGTGATTGTTTCTTTCTAGAACACCCCTGATGAGCACTTCATTCTTGATCGACACCCGAAGTATGACAACGTTGTCATTGGGGCTGGATTCTCTGGTGAGTCCTAGCAGGAGGAGATGGAGGGCTCTAAAGCCGGCCTACGTCGGTGCCAGGCACAATGTGTTTCCCATGCTCTTAGCCGGCCGGGTAGGGCCCAATGCCTAGACACCGAGTATATAAGAGGCTGGGCAGGGAGAGCAGAGAAGAACGGCACTGCTCTTTGTGAGAGGCAACTTCTGGCTTTGGGATGCGACCAGGAGAATTAGTTCTGTCTGGGGACTGTAGAGGGGACTCCCAGAGAGCCCGGCCCCTGTCTCGGAGGATGCTGGACAACCTGCTCCTCTTTCTCTAGGGCATGGATTCAAGCTGGCCCCCGTTGTAGGCAAGATCCTGTACGAATTAAGCATGAAATTAACACCATCTTATGACTTGACACCTTTTCGAATCAGCCGCTTCTCTGGCCTGGGCAAAGCTCACCTTTAACCCCCGGCCAGCAGCCTCCCTTTTTTCCTTCTGAGATGAAGAAAGTGCCTGTGAGAGCTCATCCCTTTCTCTTCCTCTCTTGAGTCCCCTGTAAACACCAGATGATCCAATCTACTTTCTTTCCCTGGTCAGCTCCCCAGCGACTTTTCAGATGGATGTCTGTATAAGGAGGGGGCATAAGGACTGGCACAGGAGAACAAAGCAGTTGTTAAAATTCTCTTTACTGGGACATATGATGAATTTGAAATGGATTTGATTAAAGCTGCTCAGGGGAGGAGGGCAAACAAGATGATTTGTAGATGACTATGGTTCTTAAAGTTCCTTTCTTAAAACTCTCCGGAGCCACCCTCCATTATAAACTCTGGTAAAATCTGGTTCATCGTGCCTGTAAATGTTTGTTGAAAAAAAAAAGTGTGTTGAATAGTCCTGACCCGTGTGGCTCAGTTGGTTGGGTGTTGTCCCACAAAACGAAAGGTCGTTGGTTCGATTCCTGGTGAGGGCACACGCCTGGGTTGTGGGTGGATTCAGTCCCCTGGTCAAAGTTTCTCTCTCTCTCTCTCTCTCTCCCTCTCTTCCCCTCTCTCTAAAAATAAATAAATAAAATATTTTAAAAAATGTGTTGAATAAACAAACAACAGCATTGCAGTAAAGTCTGTGGTGGGCTTTGTTTTCTATGTGACCTCATTTTTTACAGATTTTAATTGTCTAAATCAGCCCCACAGAATACACTACCCCAAGAGTCCTTGGGGGTCTGTACCCCTCTGGTGCACTGCACCCTTTTCTCTGGATTCTTTGTCTGGTTCTCATCCTCCCTCTGGTTCTGTAAAGATGCTCAGTTCCCCAGTCTCTCATTAAGGTGTATTGTCAGGTCCTTATGAAGATGGAGCTGTTATACCAGAAAGAAAGAGAGAGACACACTCGCTTAGAAACCCTGTTCAGTGTTTGAATGTTAAATGTGCCATTTTATTATCATTAGGATTGCTCCCACTTAATGAAACGACATTAGCACCAAGTCGGCTGGTCTCCTTGCACTAATTGCTTTGAAAGGGAGCAGGCTCATAACTACCCCAGGGTGGGAGGAGGGGAGAGGGGTGTAAACAGGGACTCAAGCAAGGCTTGATGCGCCCAAGCAGGATAATCTCCAGACCAGGCCAGTGTGACCCAAGAGAAAGGAGTTCAAGTAGTCTGGGGAGGGGAACACTGGCACGGGTGGGTGGGGGTGGGGGTGGGGAGGACGGCGGCGGCGGCAGTGAAAATGTTAGGAGGAGTTAGTGAGTGGGGAAGAGTGGGAAATGGGAACCAGAGTAAAAATATTCCCAAAGGGAATACAACACAGAGGAAATTACTCTTCAGCTGCCATATAGGCCTAGGCTCATGGATTAGCACTGATTTCTCCAGGGAATTATAAAAGCCAGCCAGTTGCATCAATCCTATGACAAGACTGCTTTTTAGGTGCTCTCGGATGGCCTCCTGAACCTCATCCTCTGTAAAGTAGGAAAAATAATCCTCATCATATCTGTAAAATGGGCAGAATACTACAACATGGATGCACTTTGAAGACATGACGCTAAGTGCAGTAAGCCAGACACACAATGGACACATACTGTCTTCACAGAAACAAGAAGTAGCATGGTTGTCTCCAGAGGCTGTGGGGAGGGAAGGATGGAGGATTAGTGTTTAATGGACACAGAGTTTCAGTCTGGGAAGATCAAAAATTTCTGGAGGTGGATGGTGATGCTTTTGCAACATCACGGCTTAACACATCACAAACACAAACACAGTTTAAGTGAATGTACTTAATGACACTAAACCGTACACTTAAAAATGGTTAAAATGGTACATTTTATGTGAGATATATCCGCAATTAAAAAAGGGAATAATACCAACCAGCTCTACAGGAGTGTGCGAGGATTAAGTGAGATCATTCATTTATTTATCCATTCAATACATGAATATTGATTGAGCTTCTGCTCTGTGTCAGGTACTGTCCTAGGCACTGTGAATGCCTCTGTGAGCAAAATAGGTAGAAATCTCTGCTCTTGTGGCACTCGCGGTCCACTGAGGGGAAGAAATGTAAATAATATGTATAAGTAAATTATATTGTATGTTAGAAGGTGACAAATGTGCTGGGGGAAAACTGAACAGGGCGAGGAAGATGGAGGATGTCGGGGAGGGACTGCCCTTTTCCACAGTGGGTGGTCCGGGTAGAATCATCGAGGAGGGAGCAGGGAGCCGACTTGGAGGAGCGGGAGTGTGCCAGGCAGGTACCCGGGTAAATGTAAGAGAATGTGATCAGTTGTAAGGCAAAGTATTGTGTGTGTGAGTGAGAAAAATGAGGTGCAGTGAGGGATCCGTGTCAGATCCTGCCAGCTCCCAAGCTGGCAAAGTTGGGGAGAAAGGGTGTTGGGCACCTCTCCCTCTCATTCCACGGCGGCCCGCAGTTCCCCCTGCCTCTGCCACCCTCCTCCCCCAGCCAGCTGCAGCTCCCTTCCAAAATATCCAGTCTAATTCAGCCTGCTGGTGGCAGCTAAAGGAGGAGACCAATGTCTAGAGGAGGCTAAGAAAGGACAAGTGGAGGATGCTGACAAGCCCTGCCCGAGCTGGCTGAGGCCCTTCACAAAGGAGCCGGTGTGCCCTAGAAACAGCGCACTGAGAGGCTGGGACGAGGGCACGCAGTACAGGATGGGTGCATGCCACCTGAGGGGTGAGGTCAGGGAAGAGTGGAGAGACACAGGAATTGGCTAAGAAGAGACTAGCAATGTGCGGGCCAGAAAGGCAGGTAAGGACCTCCAGGGGTGCTGCACGCCCCCAGACCCAAAGGAAATGGGTCCTGAATGGCCAAGTGATAGAACTGAGCACTTCTTACTGGGGGTGAAGTGGGGTCACAGAAGGAGGGAGTAGATGCAGAGAACAGAGTCTACGGGCATAGAGAAGAGGACAAGCCATTGTAGAAGGGGACGGAGGACGCCTTGCAGGTTTAATAACACTGAAGGATTTGCCCAAACAGATCCACAAGCATTATCTCCCGGTTTTCCTTCTGCTTGAGTGTGGCCAGGCATCCCCTTTCAGGCAGGCCCGACGTATCTTCAAGATGGAAGAAAATGAAAATAAATCGAGCAGGCAATAAGACCTGCGGAAGGGCAGCTGGGGTCTGCACGGGCTGCAGGGGAGAGATAAGGGCGGTGAAGAGAAAGAGGCCCGCCTGGTTGCTGCCCAGACTGAGGAAAACAGAGGCAGGCTAAAAATAGATGGGGGTGGGGGTAGGGAGGAAGGAGAGCCAGTCCAGAGAAGAACGGAAAGCAGAGGCAATCGATGCCGTTGTGCCTATGACCCAGTTCCTCATCTCTCAGCCTCACTAAACAGAAAAATTAGGGGGCGATGGGGAAAAAGGGAAAGAATGGTACAGAGCGAGGAGAGTCAGAGGAAAGTAATTGGAGCCTTAAGATGTAGGCAGTTGTGGGATACAAATCAGTAATCATGATGCAGAAAAGAGGAGGTATATACTGTAGTTAGTGTTAGTTAAACTGTCACCAGAGTTTGGCATCCCAGAACAGGGATGGAAAGAGCTTACGCTGCATGAGTATAACTTGGGAGGCAGTTCAACTGTCCAGAAAGGTACAAGGAGGCAACGAGGATGGGTTAGTCTGGAGACAGCTGGCTGGAGTGTGGCAGTGTGACTTGATGCTTATATCTTATTTCTTAGAACAGTGATTAAAAAGAGTTTGGCGAGTGGATATTCTATTTCACTGGTGGGCTTCCAGCGCAGCCAGAGGGGGTTAGATTAGACCTCAGGATACCCATCCCACTAGGTAGATGTGTGAGATATTAAGACCTGTATATAAGCACTCTTAGGGTGTTCTTTTCTTGGAAATCTTTAAAAATGAGAAGCTCGTCTATGTGAGCCTACAGTCTTGCCTGAGGGCCTGGACCTCCCCACCATCTTCGGGAAGACTTCTGGCTAGAGAGTTGCTGGGAGACTTTTTTGAACCTGGAATGGGTGCCTGGGCCAGGACCTATGGTGGGTGAATGAAAGCACCCAAGGGTGGGGGAGGACAGGACGCACGGGGGGGGGGCAGGTGCGGGGGGGCGGGGAGGCTGGCTCTGTCAGACAGGGAGGCTCAGCAGGGACAAGGGGCAGGATTCTAATATGAAGGACCCAATGACATTTACATAACTTTGAATAATGAATAAGCCCAGCTCTGGGGCTCTTAGTCAGCACGCTTATCTGCATCTTTATTAAGCTTTATAAATGATTCAGCTCCCTACCCCTTCCCCCCAGCCCCTGCCCAGCCTGCCCCAAGCATCAGGGTAGTTGATTGCTCATTATTTTAGACTAGATTTGTTTCACCAACACTCAGTGAGGCATGGCGTGGGGGACACAGGAAAGAGGAACGAATCCGAAGGCAGGCCGAGCAGTGGGGTAGGGGGGCAAATGGAAGCAGCAGCCGTGGGAAGTCAGGCAGCTGTCTGTGAGCTAGGGGCACGGGGATACTTCTCTAAAATGCTCCCGGGGACAACATTCTCAGGGGAGAAAGGTTCCTTAGATTCCCTGAAGTGCGCTGGGTTCAAGTCCTACTCATTCCCTAGTTTCCCTCGTGTCCGCTGCCAGCCCCTGCAGGCCCCTCGGACGGCTCCGGCACGGCCCGGAGCCACTCGAGCAGCCAAATGAGTACAGTCCCCAGGGAAGTTCTCATTTTTACCCTGAGGTAAGGATTTTGCTATTTTCACACAAAAGAAAAAAAATTTTTTTGCTACGCTTGCAAGGCAAGAGCAGACACCAGGCATATTAGAGGAGAGAGAGCTAGGAACAGGTGCACATGGCATGTGAATAGGTAGGGAACAGGAACGCTTGTGTCCATAGAGAGTCCGAGCCCACCTTAGAAGAGGGGCCTGGAGAAGAATGGCATCCGGGTAGGCCGGCTAGTGCCAGCTGCTCTGGTTACCTGCCTGCTCTACTGGGTGGAAGCAGGGAGGAGCGCGTAAGGGCCTGGATGAGGAGGAGTTGGCAGGAGCCTGGTAAGGAGAAAGGTAGAGCGTTTCTCAAACATGGCTGCACATTAAAACCATCCAGTTAGCTTTAAGAAATACAATGCTTAAATACATACATACATACATATATATATATATGTATATAATGCTTGAGCTCTACCCAAGGTCAATCAAATCAGAATCCCTGAGGGAGAAGGTTCTGGACACTGTTTCTTAACAAGTTCCTCAGTGTTGCCTTGACCAGCGGCTCAGTTGGTTGGAGTGTCATCCCATACACCAAAAGGTTGGGGGTTCAATTCCCGATCAGGGCACATACCTAGGTTGTGGGTTCAATGCCCGGTCAGGGCACGTATGGGAGGCAACTGCTTGATGTTTCTCTTTCACACTGATGTTTCTCTTTCCCTTTCTCTTTAAAATTAGTAAACATATCCTCGGGTGAGAGTTAATAAAAAGGTTCCTCAGTGGTGTTTGGATACCGATTCAAACAAACTAACTTAGTATATATATTTATTGAATTATTACTATATTATAAAATCAGGGAAATTTAAACATTGGCTGGATATTTGGTATTAAGGAGTTTCTGATAACTTTTTTTAGGTGTGATAATAGTATTGTGATTACATTTGTTAAAAGAGTCATTTTCTTTTCTTT